TTTTTTGGGTTCATTGAGAACATGGTTGTTGTTCAATAATAAAATTATTCCTCACAAATACAACTTGCCTAATAATTCTGCACTCCCTGTACAGTGGATCCGTATAAGTGCAGGACTGGGTTTGCTGGTACTTTGAAGTACTTACCAGCGTTTTAGAACTGATTTTTATTCTATATGCAATACCACAGCACTTATTTTCAAAGAAATACTTCATCTCATAGTGGAGGAGCGATGAAGTACAAGTTACTGTCTGTAACAGAACGAATGACTGATGGACACAACTGGTTTGTGAGGTCCTGCTTTGAAGCCACACAGTGACTGTATGTTGGTTGCAATAAACAGATGGTCTCTCTGTTCCAGTGGAAGCTATCACTATCTGACAGAACAGAGGTTTGAGGTACTATCACACTGGCTTAAACTTTTTACTGTTACGCCCTCCATTTGAAGCCAAATATTTCTACGTCCTCTTCCTCGTTTTCTAATGAGCACTTTTGGTTTAGAGCATTTCGGGGAGTAATCTCACATCGCTGCAATGATTTACACAGAAATGGAGGAAACACACTTACTGCTGGTTATTGAACATAGGAGGTTAAAAAGGCTAACAAACATTTATACAACCTTTGTAGCACTTATGGGTTGGAGCAGTCCAGAATGGTGCATCGACAGGTCATCAGATCCTCCACTAATGCCGAGGTTTGTGGTTCGATTATTGGCTGCTCCAGTCTGCACGCCAAATATCCTCGGGCAAGATACTAAGTACCAAGTTGCTCTGCGCTGCGTCCATCGGAGTGTGAGTGTGTGCGGATGTTAGATAGAAAGCACTTACACAGAAAAAGCATAGAAAAAAGTGCTTGTACAATATGAATGTGTGATGTAAAGTGATTTGAGAGCTCAGAGCAGAAAAGTGCTATATAAGAACCATTCCATTTACTATTTACTACTGCACTGGAGATCTCTGAGTGCTGCCTTGTCTCGCCCATTGGCAGGGCGAGGTATGTTTGTGTGGCTTTGTGGTGACATTTATTCACATTCATTCCAAAACCTCTTAATCCCAAACAAAAGGGCAAAAGCTTATCAGGAAACACATGCACACTCAGTCGATATATCCACATAGTGGTCCTGTTTAAAAAACAGCAAGGCTGTCTTCCTGTGGTGCATTTAAACCTTGGAAACTTCTGTAAATTTAAGCTACAAAAACATGGGACACTCCTCATTTTATGAAAATGTGACAGGCAAGACAAATTTGGAAAGAGAATTTTCAACTGTCAAACTTGGGAATAGAAGAGCTAACAGTGGCAGCAGACCAAAGCTGTGAGGGCGAAGGTTTAAATCACTGGTCTGTACACAGGTCCCAAAGCTCCGTAAAGTGCTTTTGAAACACTGATGCTTTTAAAATGAAAATAATTACAATAATGCTCCTTGTGCTAGTAAATACTCCAAGAATCCAGCATCATACATTTGGAAGTATTTGTCCTACGCTACAAAACCAAGTGTATAAATAAATAAATCGATACACGCAGTGTGACTAGAGAGGGTCAGTGCAGACTTTGATACCATGGGATTAACTGCAGGCTGAGTGTTACTCACTGTAGGAGCACCCGTACACCTCCACCCTGAGGCCCATCCAGCCACTGGGGTTCCAGTCAAGGGGGACGAATCGCAGGAAGCGTGTCCTCACAGGGTGGGACAGCTTGTTCTGAACGACGCTCTCCGAGTTCCCGTTCCCGACAAACCTCTGCAGGTGAGAGAAGACAGACTCTGGTTGAAACAATTCTGATGTAAATCACAGAGACAGCACGTGACCTCATGTCTGCTGTGAGGAATCAGATTTTCACCAGCACACAGCAAAGTTCTTCTTTTACTGCACACTTCAAAAATAAAAAGAATAAAAATCTAAATCCCAGAGGAGCCCCGACAGCAACAAAGTGCTGACTAGGATAGACCAAGGGCAATATCTTTTTCCTATCCAATATCCTAACATATTATTTGATGTAAAGTGATAAGAATCATTGGTGTTCTGTGTGAGACTGAGATAAAATGACCACTGAGGCAGCCGGGGGCAAAATAAGGGTTCTGATATTGTGTTTTCCCCTGCAGAGCTAAAAACAAAAACCTCTCAGTGCCGATGTGATATGTCATCCTTCTTTTCCTCCCTCACGTTCAGCTCCAGACAACGCCAGGGGACACAAACAAGAACCGAGCGAGTGAAATATGGAGATGGAAACAGAGACAAACAACTCCTCCTCTCAAATGACTGATCGTCAGCTTCGTCATAACCGATTCGAGACAGGTGACATATCAGATCAATAAGTACAACAAAGCACCAAAAAAGACGGATCATTGACAGGAGCTCCGGGCGGACAGTTGTGCACAATCAGACGAGCCGATCATTCGGCTTTCCACGACTACAGAGAAGCGACGGCCTGCGGTACAAGTGACCGTCCGACACTTACGGCGCGCCACAGCAGAGGCGTCATCAAATACGCCGCGATGCTGCTTCGCGGTCGATAATCAAAACAGCAGTGACAGGGTTCAGGCTGTTGTTGTGATTGATGCAACCGCTTCCTCATTTTGAGTCGTGCACCGAGGGGGGCCTCGTGGCTGAATGTTAAAGCAGGTACGCGATTGGCTTATTTACACATGCGCTCACATCAGCACAGGAGGGATTAACAAATGGAACTGGGGCTCACACATCTGGCAAAAGCAGATGTGTTACCTCAGCTTGGCACTGGAAGCTTCTGGAAGAAACAGAACAGCCACAAGAATGTGTGTCAGTAAGTTGCGCACACTCGCACAACTTTGCTTTTGTAAACGCTTCCAGCTACAAACAGAAACGTGTTCTGATGTTGGTTGTTTTATTGTTTTACTTGGAGTCAGGTGTGTTCATCACACACAGCCTGTGAGGCTCTGTGCTGCAGAACAGTTACACTGCATTCAACATCATCAGCTTCTAAAAGAATATGGATATCAAATATTTAGCATCACTTAATAATGTATTCAATTCACTATTGACTACCCACTTACAACCATACAAGTATCACATACAGATTTAATAGTTATAAGGCCTCCTTCAGAATTACCAAAGTAAGAAATTAAATTAAATTTTATGAACACCGAGGGGTATTATAAGGTAAAGACCTAAATCTCTGACAATCAGACAATCCTCCCGCACTTGGCAACAGTGGGAAGGAAAAACTCCCAGTTAACAGGAAGAAACCAGAACCAGCTCATGTAGGGGAAGCATCTGCTGCAAAATACATAGTACTGTATCTGCTAATCACTTCTAACTACTGCTTATTAAATGAGAAGGTTCCTGTGTATGAATAGTTTGGCTCTGCATGGGCCAGTATTGCAACTACAGTGATTTTTCCCTACGTAACAGTTAATTATGAAATATTCTCATTCATTAGAGCAGATATCAGCCTGTCACAGATATATCAGCAGATATCAGCCTGTCACAGATGTATCAGCAGATATCAGCCTGTCACAGAT